TATATTCTGGGGTTTATGTGAAACTGCAAGTTAGAAAGGTTTTTCTGAAATATGTTTAATGCTTATGTCTAAGTGTCTTCCTGTCCCTTTCTTTTGCCTCCTTCCAAAATACTTGTTCTGGGGTTCTGAACATCTTTCATAATAATCTCAATGGGTATCTTTGCCCAGACACTAATTTTAGTTCTAAAAGGAAACTGTAATAATGTAACAATTTGTATCTTTCCTCTTTTTATCTGCAAAATTTAAGTCTTAAACAGGTGATCATTATTAATGAAGTATTGATGACTGTAAATTCCTTATGTCACAATCCTTATTGTAGCAGCTCTTATGCATTATGAACAATTTACATTTCCCCCTACAAAAGATTTTTATTTTATGGTAGGACAGTCATCTATTTATTACTAATAAATATATATATGTATATGTGTGTGTGTATACATGTTGTATACATACACACAGAGTTGCATGTAGTTTATATAGTATTTGTTAAAATGTTTTTCTTTTTATAGAATCTCCCCAAAAGAACTGTATCACTATGGTCCTATATAAATAGCCAGCTTGAAGACTTCACTAATCCCCTGTATGTGAGCTACTCCAATCATGTCCTTTATCCAGTAGCTAGCATGCGCCACCTAGAGCTTTGGGTGGGATATTACATCAGATGGAACCCACGGATGAAGCCACAGGTAAAAATCTTTATAAAATATGTTCTGGGATTTTTCATTTGAGGAATTTTGATGAGTCCCTCTCTTTCTTCTTAAAAACAAATTAGAAAAAGTATGTTGGCTTATGGATGTGGAAATGAAACAGTAAAGATATAATTGCTAACCTGCTTTTTAAAATGTTATATAAAATTTTATGAAATTCCATTGATAGTATTTTTGAAGTGTACTAGAAAATTTTTATAACTTAGAATCATGTAAAGATAAAACCAAAACCCAGAAGCATGTAATTCTAGCTAGTCTTGGTTTTTAAAGTTAATTTTTTCTTATGCAAGTCTGTGGAAAAACAAGAGGAATTTCCAGTTAGCAATGGAACATTGGTGATCCCATCAGCCCTCAAGGGCTCATTCTTAGTCTGTCTATGCAAATGATCTCCAAATGTATATTCATCTGTTGTTTCTCTCCTGATCAAGTGCCTGTTGGATATCTCAAAAAAGTTGTCTGCCCCATTGCCACTCCACATTCAACATGTCTAAAATGGAACTAATTACTTACCCCTTTTTAACTTCCTTATTTCTGGCAATGCAATAACTGCCATTCTGTACGATGGTACTTCCAGCCACCTAGGTTCTCAACCTTAAGTCATCTTTGACTGCTACAATTCAATCCTGGCATTTCATATATCCAGTCAGTTGCCAAAGCTTATATATTCTCACCTCTATATTTCTCATATTCATTCCTTTATCTTCACTTACATGGCTACCAATGTGGTTTGGACCATCATGTCTTACCTGCATGATTGCAACAATCTGGCTCCCTGTATCCATTCTCCCCTTTCCCGTTCTTCTTGCACTGGTAACGTAATACTCTTAAGGTACAGGCCTTACATCATTCTCCTACTTAAGATGCTTCAGTGGTTTCCTACTGACTTGAATAAAATATAGCTACCCTTTTTTGGGCGGACAGTGATAGGGAGGGGGGCAGCACCAGACCCTTTAGTCTGGTTCTATCCTATTTTCCTAGACTGATTTATTCTTCTTCTTCATATATTTTATGTTCTAGCTAGACTAGCTTTTCTTATTCTCCATGAAATTCTACTTTCTGCCTGTACCTTTACAAAAATAAGTTGACCTTCCTCATCTCTGGAATGCTCTTCTGTGTCCTCCATCCCTTAGAATCACTAGCTTTCAAGGCTTAGCTCAAGCCTGATTTCTTCATGTTTTATATTGACTCATCTGTGTATATATGTTTTTTCTTCCCAGTAGGGTTTAAGCAAGAAACATTCATGTTGTGCCCGTAAGCCATAGGGATGGTAGTTATTGGAGGGTGTGGATGACGCACACAGTTGAATTCACAAATGACTTTTTGTGGTCTTTTTCCTCATAGGAGCCTATTCATAATCGCTATAAAGAACTTCTTGCCAAACGAGCAGAGCTTCAAAAGAAGGTGGAGGAACTACAAAGAGAGATCTCTAGCCGCTCAGCCTCATCCTCAGAAAGGGCCAGTTCTCCTGCACAGTGTGCCACTCCGGTCCAAACTGTCGTATGAAAAGACTTTTCTTTTTTGGCAAGGAGGAACTTTTATCACTGATTCCCTTATCACGGCAGCTTTCCTAGTAGAATGTCTTCTGAATTTAGAACCCATCTGAGAGAGCTTTCAGCCACTTTATTTATTATGCCTCTCTCTAGGGTGAACTACTACTTTAGTACTGCAAGTATCTTATTTAAAAATAACCCCCCTATGCAATTACTTGATTATGTTCTGATAACACTAATTCTACCAAGACACCTACAGGCTATTAGAATGCTCACCCCTGGATCCAGAATGGGAACAAGTTTGTTTTTAAAAGGAAAATACTGCTTCAGAAATTCAACATTATCTAGCGGAAATAGTATAAAAGTTGTCATTAGTGCACCCAACTGAATGGGGCAAAAGTAGCCTACTACAGAGAATAATTAATTCATAAGAATATCAAGTGAATACAGACTTTAATGGCATCACAGGACTGGTGACACAGACATTAAGTGATAGGCCCACATAACTCCAACTTTTTGAGGTTTTGAGGTTTTCCCTGTCAGCAATAGTTGGCTTGTCCTTTTCTCTTGATCGCTTCCTTTGCCCATATTTTTTATAATATGAAAGACCAAGTTTTGAGGCTGTTATGGGGTGGTGACAGCCACAGATTATTAAACATTATCACTGTGTAAAATTTATCACAGTTCTAAAGTGAGGCCTTATAGAAAATATGATGTGGACTCTGAAGTTCAAGTTAACTGACAGCTCTTCAAGTTTTACTTCATTTACCCGCATCTACCAGTTTTATTAATTATACCAGAAATAGGATCATGAGAAGATTAAGTTGTTTGGATTTTGAAAACACAAATCTATCCTACTTTGGTTCTGATACTAATTTTTGTGTCAGAGGCATTATCAAGGTAACTGGTAGGTATAAAGCTACAGTCTGAAATTCTTGCTAGGACTGACACATGGCCGCCCTTCCCCTCCTTCCCCAGTTTTATGTACAGTTTGTTAGATCAGTGATATACTCAGAAGTTTATACCAAGTACTTTACTACTTTTCCCCATAATGAATCCAATAATTTTACTGAATGATTAAACCTACCAACCAAAGAAACTGTTGCATGTAAAAACATGTATTTATTACAATCTCAATGTAAGTAGAGGTAACCTCGATTTCTTAGTTGGCTATAGTAAGATTTCAGCACTGGCATAAATATATGACTGCCTGCTGTCTACTTTACTAAAAGCCATGTGTAATGTAATGTACTGTAACAAAAATAAGCTTGTTGCTCCTTGGGTCTTTAATTAAAACAGAATTCAACTGACTTTTAAACTTTGTGGCAAGTTGTCTGTCTTATTTTGTACAAATGTGCTTATTATTTAAATACTTTTAAAAAGGAAGAGATGCAAATGCTTCATCCCATTCTATAACTGAACTGAATGTTCTATATAAATGTGTACAGAAGTTTCTACTAAGTTTAGTAGTTGGTCCAAATATTCTTTTCCTAGGACACCAGACTCCCTTTCAATTGCTTTTTAATTATTTGTAGCAATAATAGTTGACATTTACATAGTGCTTTAGCAAGGTTTTTAAAGAGTACTTGATCCTTAAAACTCTGCGTAGATGGTCTTACATAGCAGATTAAGAAACTGAATTTCACTAAGTATGTGTAGGAAAAAAAGCAGCAGCCTTAGGCACTGGAAAAGACCCCTAATAAATACTAACTAACTTTTCAATCACCTTTTAAATCTCCCTCTCTAAATCTAGTTATTGCTTTAAGAGGTGGCTTAAGTCAGTAAATATATTTAAAACATGATCTTACATGGGCAGCCACTTCAGCAAAAGTGAATCCACTCCCACTGGCAATCCCAATACAAGTGATCCAGTCACCTTGGCTGTAAGTTATCAGAAAGCACAATACTTTCAGAACATTTGTTCTTATCATCTTTTTCTTGGATGAGACACAATGCCACTCACTGTATGTTACGTTTCAGTACTGTCATAAAATAATTTATCACTCATCCAAATCTTCCCAACGCTTCCTGTGAGCTTAAATGAAACAGATTATGATCTATATTTTACAGATGAGAAACTGAGTTAAAAGAGTTTATGACTTGTTCCAACTTATAGTGTATAGTGATAGTCCCTATCACCCAAACAATCCATTAGCACCCTAGGCACCAAATCATGGAGGAAAAAGATATATTTTCCTTATTTCCTTAGGACCAATTGCTAACATTTATATAGCACTTTTAAGGTTTTCAAAGAAGTTTACAGACATCCATTCTTATTTGGTCCTCACAACAACCCTGTGAGGTAGGTGCTATTATTATCCTTATTTTACAGATCAAGAAGATGAGGTGCAGAGAAGTTAAGTGACCTGCTCACAGTCACACTGCCAATAACTGTCAAGAGGGAGAATCCACTACCATCATTATTTTCCATTTACTACTTCACTAGAGTTCATGCTTCAGTTGTTCCTTCAATGGATCTTGCAACCTGTGAATCTGACTTCTAGAAAAGCATTAATTTTTAACAAAACTTGTTACCAACAAAACAACTCTGGAGCTTGCTGTGAGGGTATTAACCTAAGGGGCCGGGTAATGGCCCACCAAATATTAAAACCATGATTACTCTGTTAAAACAAATATGAAATCGATGAATGATAGTTTCCCTGAAGGTGCTCCTATGCTAGCAATTCAGAATTTTAGCCAATAGTTCTCCACTGTTGAGGTGCATACTTGGATTTAAGTATTTATGAAATCTATAATATAAGCCTGCTACTGAAAACTTTAAGAATAAAGTTTCAGCATTTCCTTAAAACAAAGCTGGCTTTATTGATTTTAATGGCACATTTATAAAAAGTTAACATGTTTTTGTATATTCCAAAATAGGAAGAATTTTTTTACATCATTAACATAATAAATAACAGTTGCTGTGCACAGTTTATTTTGTATATGTACAGAACACTAATAAAGGTAACTATCCAAGGTGTTCAGTATCTATTTCAAGATAAAAAACACACTGCCAGGATTGAATGGCATGATTACGAAGAGGCAATATTTAAAAACAGCAAATGTACATGCTTTTATAACACCCTCCACCCCACCCCAGGTTGGTTTTTCACTTTCTTCCTAACTCTCATTGTCTATTTTCACACCAAAATTTGTTCACACTGAAAAACACTCAGATAATTTTTTTATTGTGCTAACCTCATGTTCTATTTACAGGCTACTACCTTAAATGATTATTTTGGGTTTTCTGGAAATAATAATTTTGTTTTGTTAAAATGGGTTGAAAAGCAACACTAATTTCGCTTAAAACTGGCTAGAAACAAATTGTTTGTTTTGGTTTTAAAAAACTGAATTTTTGCCTTTTTTTTTTGGTAAACTAAAGAGCTACTGAGATAACATACCAGTGGAGAAGGGGGAAAAATGATTTTAATCATTAATTAGTAAAGTCCTATTCTACAACATGAACTGGGATAAGAAAATATTTAAAGGATTTAAAATTCAAAAAGCCTCCATCAGTAGCAAAATAAAGCAATTCTGGGGGTTGGAGATGGAAAAAATACGTTGGGGTAAGGTTTATGAGACTTTTCAAGCAGTGCTGATAACTCTACATACACATTTGTGTTTTGTGTTTAGATAATTTAAACTTAATTTTAATTCAGCTATAGAAGACACAATTTTTAAAAAAAATCCACAAATAAAAACCTGGGAGTTTGTTTACAAAACTGCACAAGTACAGCAAGATTTGCCAAAGGGAATTCAGTAAAATGTGGCTTCTTATGTTTCCAGTAAAACTGTTCAACCTTTACTGGAGCTATTTAAAACAGTGGTCCTCAGCACAAGTATTATTAGTCCCTCAAAAAAGTATAAGAATATGCTATTTTTAATATGTGAATTGTCAACATATGACAAAATATAAATTATATGAATAAAACATTTGACCTAGTACCAATCAATATTCCCAACCTAAGTTATCTTTTTGAATCGAAGTCTGTATGGTTTGCATGTCCTTCAACAACTGAAGGTTTCGACGGCTTTTCTCTCCAGGGTTCCGTTTGACAGAAATAGAGTCCTTCTTAGGGGAGCTCCCAGTGACCCCAGGATAGAGCTTGCTGTTGCCTTCCTGATCCTCCAAACACTTTTTGCTACCCTTTAGCTCCTTCATCTGTCTCTCCAGCTGCAAAACAGCCAAAAGGAAAAAGGAAGATTAGTGTCAGCATTTTTCACTTTACCTTTTGTCGTTTACTAAAGAGTCCCCCCCTATCCCAAAACAGTATTATAAAACAATCTAATGTCACTAAGGACACATTTTAGCATTACTACAAAAGGGCTTTCCAAAGTATTTGTTCCATCCTCATTAGTTTCCTGTGGGATTACAAGAAAATGTGGAAGAATGCTATTCCAAAAGGTGCTGCTGGCATATTTATGTTCTTTTTAGAAGAATAAAATCAAGTCTACTAATTCACAACTTAGAATATGTTCAGTTTTCATAAGCATCACTCAATGACCATTTCCTTATTTAAATATGTAGTTTTAAAAATCTATTCAACTCTGATCTAAAAATATACTGAGAGCAGAGGCCCTTCAAAGCTCAAGATTTTAAAAACCATGAAATGTGAGATACCTTCTACTTTAGGCTTCACATTGTCCATCACTGCACCTTATAACACACTAATGTAATAAAGCCAAGATGGCACAGGTCCTATTTAATTTTATGTGACACCAATAGTTAACAGGGAGGGTTCAAAGGATGAAATCCCATCTCACCCTTCACATTATATTCCTGGAAGTTAAAAATAAAGTGACCTGCATCCACACAGTATCTATCCAACTGATGACTAAGGGGCATGCTTCTCTAATTAGCATTATCAATTCAAAATATACTGGAAGAAATAAAGCCCCTATCCAAAATTAAGGCCCTTTATTTGGTATACAGATTTATGAGGAATATGTTCCAATTGCTGATTAAACATCTGGTACCTAAGTCTGAATGAATGAATGGATGAATGAGTGAAAATTAGCCATGGCTGTAATTACAGAGATAGGAGGAGTTGAGTAGGTCTAGATGCCTTAAAGACCAAACTTTTGGCTAGTGACCACACTACTGTTTATTTTGGAGGTGGACAAAGGGAAGCTTGAAAGTCATATCTACAATTCTATAGTGATTTCCACTTGCTTTTCTCAAAACACTTATTCTAAGTGTTCAAAGGAAAAGATGTTTTAAAATACCATAACCATACATTAAAATGTAAAAGTATGCACACTATAAACCTGCTGTCACTAACACTTGCCTCAGAACAGGAAGGTGAATGAAAGCAGGTTGAAGTTAGCACTGGCAAGGAGGGTAAAGGAAGGTGAGGAAAAAGTGATGTGGGAATAAAGTCATGCGATTATAGTACTGTGTTTGTAATCCACTCCTGCAAAGAAGGTACAAAACCAGAGGACAGGCAACTACCTCAATAACATAATTCCTGAATGCTAAACGTTAGCTAAAGATTATTTCCTAGCCTGATTTGTTTACCCCTTTAGAAACAGCATTCAACTTAAAAGAAAAGTGACTACTTTATGACCATTTAAATGAAATGTTTTTACATTTAAAGACTGTATCTAGGATGAAGTATTCTTATGTACAGGAACTTGTTAGTTCCTTCAGAAAAACTGCAATGTATTGACAGACTTAACCCTTTTCAGCAATGCAAGGATCTAAGACATCTCCAAAGGCCTCATGATGGAAAATACTATCCACATCCAAAGAAAGAACTATGGAGTTTGAATGCAGATTTAACCATACTATTTGCTATTTTTTTTTCTTCTGTTGTGTTTTGTTTCCTCTTTCTGGTGGTTCCTCCTACTGGTTCTAATTAATTCTTACCTAATCTAATTACTAATGTGAAAATGTTTAATAGGAATATATATGTATAGCCTACATAAGATTGCATGCCATCTTGGAGAGGGAGGTGAGGAAAGAGAGGGAGAAAAATTTAAAACTCAAAAGCTTATGGAAGTGATTGTTGATAAACCAAAATAAATTAATTTAAAAAAAAAACTGCAATGTGTTCTTTGGTATCCCCATTACTCTAGAGAAAACACATGTGTGCTTGAGTGAGCACGCACACACACTCTCTCTCTTCTCTCTCTCTCTCTAAGAAGATTCACAAAGTAATAATAACAAATACACTTTCCTCATTGAAACACAGCAGATATTTAATAAGAATTTTTGGTAAAGGAGGACCATCCTGTTGATCACAATTTAGAAAAAGACTTTTGGCTCCACCTAAATAATGTACTACAAAGAGATATTTTAAAAGAAAGCTGAGTGCAGGTAAACTCACTTACCCGGGCCTGATGTTTTCGAACTTTAGTTATTTGATTAGCCTTAGCTTCCATCCTTTCCACTAATTCCTCAAGTTCCCGCTCGAGGTCCTCTTTCAGTTCATTAGTTGGTGTTTCCTGGATAAGTTTGGCTAGTTGTTGGTGATCACTTTACATGAAGAAAAATATGGGTGATTAAATTCTCTTTATTGTTGATGGTTATGTATAAAATAATCACTTAAATATATTTCCTCTCTTGCAATCTATTCACTGGTACTCTGTTGCACCAACCATCAGATTATCAAAATAAAATTTAAACATAAACTTGGGTGTTTAAATGAATACTTTTTTTTAAAAAGGGAGTTTTTTTTAACTTGTAAAAAGTTGGATCATCCTCTACTTATAAAGTAGAACTTCAAATTTATAAATTCTAGTTGTATTTATTTAATGAAATACTGTTTTCTAAATGAAACCAATAACTTTGGCAATTTAATGCAATAAAAATTTATGCAATAAAAAAAATAATAAACCTAATAATATTTGCATAATAACATTGGGCAAAAATTTCCCATCTGAACAAGAATTGTTGAGAAAACTGAAAACAGCAAAGCAGAAATTAAGTTTAGACAAATATCTTATGTAATATACCAAAACTGCTGCTATTTGTCTTTCGTTCTTGAAGATGACCACAACATCAGGGAGGTGATACCATGACATGCAAGTGAATTGGATTTAAGTGAAGGAGGGCTGTGCAAAGTCACCAGCCTCACTTTCTCCTCTAGAACCATGTGGGTCCAGTAGCAATATACAGATCCGAACAACTGGAGATGCCCCAGGATGCAGTTAGGGACCTTGGCCTTAGACGAAAAATGGATGTATGACCTGAACACTAAACGTCATACTATTCTCTGTTCCAATATAAGATCCTTGAGAATAGCAGATATTTCATTTTTTAAAATTTGTATCCAGAGTATCACGCACACTGACTGGCTCAGAGTAGGTGCCTAATAAATGCCTGTTAATTGACTAACACCATAAAAGAGTAAAAGAATAAGGTCAGGCACTTTTAACCACTATATTGACAAAAGATAGATGAAAAAAGACAAAACAGATAAACTGAAAAGCTTTCAAAGGAACAAAATCCATGCACCTAGACAAGGGAAGCTCTAGAATGAGAAAAAAAGTTTGCATCATATATCTCTGATAAGGATGGGAATAAACATTTATAAATTATCTACTATGTACCAGGCACTGTGCTAAACACTTTATAAATATTTCTCATAACAACCCTGGACTACTAAGTGCTTTTATTATCATCCCCATTTTACAGATGAGGAAACTGAAGGAGATAGACATTAAGTAACCTGCCCAGGGTCACACAGCTTGTAATGGCTAAGGCCAAATTTGAATTCTGGTCTTCCTGACTCCAGGCCTGGTATTCTATTCACTGTGCCACTTAGCTGTCTCATATCTAGCGAAGGTTTAATATCCAAGGTACATATGGCATCAACACAAATGTGTATTAAGAGCCACTGAGCAAAGAATAAGTAATCAAAAGATATGAAGATAATTCTCAAAATAAGAACTGCAACCTATTAACAATAAGAGAAGCACAAATCGAAACAACTCTGAGATTCTATCTTCCCAGAAAATTTGCTTCAATGACAAGATGAAAATAGTGTTGGCAAAGTTGTAGCAAGATGAGGGCAGACTAATACACTGTTATTGGAGCAATTAACTAATCCAACCATTCTGGAAAGCAATTTGGAATTGTGCTAAAACTGACAAATGCTCACAGTCTTTGACTCAGATTAAATATTTGCTAAGTATTTAACTCTCCTCAGGTTAACAATTAAAAAGAAAGTTTCCACTAACACAAAAATATATATTATCACCTTCCGCAATAGCAAAAAAATTGGAAACAAAGTAGACGCAAAGTAGTAAATGACAAACCCCCTCAAATACTGTTAAGACCAGAATGACTTTTTTTTCCTTTTCTTCAGAACCGTCCCTCCAAACACCTCTGTTCTTTTCCATTCTTTGTTATGTGGGATGTCTTTGTGGTAAGGAAATAAGGAGTATTCCAAAAGCCATTAAAACTTTAAAAATGCACTAAAACTTTTGGAACATCTTCTATTTAGAATGTAAAAACAAAATATATCAAAATAAAAACAACTTACAAACTCATCTGTCCAAATTCATCCTGTAATGTCTGTAAGACTTCAAATAGTTCTTCATGACAAGTGGAGGAGGAAGAGGATGATGCTGATAACTTCCTGCCTTTACCATTTCGAGGAGACCCCTGCTTTGCCAGGGGAACACTGCTGACCACACGATTATTGCATAAGGCTTTATTATGCTGCTTCATTAAATGTAAAACATGTTGTACATTGGCTACCACTGCATGGCTAGGGGTAGTGGACTTAAGGGAAGAAAAAAAAGGAAAAAAAAGAATGCATTACTTTTTATGAATATGTATTATATACATTTTAAGAGATACAAATTAATCCTTTGTTGTATGTTAGACTGATTTTCCCACTCTAAAAACACTAAACTTGATCAAGGTCACATGAATGAAGATAAAAGTATCTGTTCTGCCTACATCACAGGATTGTTGTGATGATTAAATAAAAAAAAATGAGCAGCTAGCTAGAGTGATAAGAAGCAAGGAGGAAGGGTAAATGAAAGCACTTTAGACATTATCTATATGACCCCGGACCATTCAGCCTCAGTTTACTCATTAATAAAATGGAAATAACAGCAGCCCCTATCTCACAGAGTTGTGAGGATCAAGTGAGATTACACATAGAAAGTACTTTGCATAGTTTAAAGTGCTTAAACAAGTAGTAACTACAATAATGCAAAGATGGACCTGCTTCAGCACAGCTCCTTTTCCTCTATGAACTTTCACTGGATGGTGACATATTACCAAAAACCAGTAACAAACATAAGATTCTATGTTTCAAAGAGGCAGGTGATTTATCTATAGAAGTACCCTACCCTATGCCTCAAAGGGCAAGGAGACCCTAGTAAACAGGAAGATATTAATAGCAGAAGACATGAATATATATGAACAGGATCAGCTATTAAGAGCAGGAAGGAACCTCTAAAAAGGCCATCTAATAAAACTCCCATATTACAGAAATAAGAAAACTGAAGCCCAGAGAAAGTAAATGAGTTGCCCTAGGGTTCACATAGTTGCTAAGTATCTGAGGCATGATTCTGAATACAGATCTTCCAGCCTCCAGGTCTAGTTCCCTATCTATTATACCATACTGATTCTAGATCAGAAGTTCTTAAAACTTTTTTTCATCATCCTTTGACAGTCTGGTAAAACCTATGGACTCCCTTTCAAAGTAATGTTTTTAAATGCATAAAATAAAAATACATAGAATGGCAAAGGAAACTAATCATATTGAAATAGTTATCCAATTATGTTTTACAAAGACAGACCAAAAAAATCCCCCACACCACACATCCCAAGTTAAGAATTGCTGCTCAAGATAAAAGGACTCAGAAGTTAGCTGGCTTGACTACAGCAAAGGAACAGAATTAGAAGAGGAGATAAAGCAGGAATGATAGACAGTCAATCTAAAAAATGGGCTGGAAATAATCTGGAAGCATAATGTTGACAAGTTCACAGATCTCAAGTTAAGAATCTTGACCTAGTCCGACCCCTTCCATTTTACAGACAAGGAAACTGAAGCCCAAACAAGCTATATGCCCAATATCACAATGGGAGCAAGTTGCAGTGCCAGAAACTGAACCCCAGTCCTACTTCCAAATCTAGTGGGCTGCTCCTCATATTCAGGTCACCTGTTTCCCCTTGCTTCCCTACTAAGTTCTTCTCTTAGTAATTTCCTTCTCTTGTCCTACAACATTGCCTGGATTTCTGCTACTTAAGGGTTTCTTCCTTCATATCTTAGACTCCCTCACTTCCATTCCCCTAGCTCCTGTTTTCAGGATATATTTCAGGATATTAGAGATAATCCTTGGAAGTAGAAGCAAAAAATCCCCCTGTACTCTGGCAGACCAGACAAATTATGAGTTCTAATGACTAGATCTTAGCTTCAAAAAAGTACTAGGATTCCAGCAAGAGAACAAAAATTTCCTATTTATCCAACTCACCTTTCCAGCTACAAACGGCATGTCACCCAAGCACAACCTGTAATGTGGCTGTACATGAAAATGGTTCCTAGGGGATTTCTAGGTAAAAAAAAAAGGCAATGAACCAATTATTCATAATTTAGAGCTGCCTATATCATATATGATTAACCTAAAACCTGAATTTATTCCTATTGGGCAGACTGCTTTATCTCTTTATCACATGGCAGTATAACATTTTATACTACATCCTAACTATGAAAGGAAAAAAACAGAAGGAAAAGACCTTGGTATCCACTCTAGAAGGGTTTACAATTTAGTTGACAGAATGGGTACACACACACACAAAATTTAGTTGGCAAGGTGTGTACACACACTCTAAGATTTACAAAGCAACATAAACGAATACAAATTAAAGTACTGCTAATGAGTAAAAAACTGCTGAGGAAATGAAAAGTAAAAGAGTGAATGAAATTCAAAAAACTAAAAAACCTAGATGATAGTTATAGTCAAGGATAGTTAATAATCCATATTTTGATATTTTAAAAACAGCAGCATTCTAAGAGAAGCTATAGGGTGTAATGGCCTCAAGACTCAAGAAGACCTTTGTTCAAGTTCCCACTTGGATATCCCTCTAGGCCATGTGATCCTGGGTAGGTCACTGATGAACCTCTCATCAGTACTCAAGGCAACAATCTAAGATAATAAACTTCAGAGGACACAGATCTTCAGCAGTAGTAGAAGTTCCTGACGTCTCCACACTCATGAAGTCAGATGTTTTGTTTAAAATGAAACAAAAACTCCACACCCCACCTTCTTTCAAAAAACAAACAAACAAAAATAAACCATTCATCAAGGAAAAGGGAGACTAAATGCTGCATTTGTTGGCAGAACATGGTCAACATGTTGGTTTTTCCAAAACTTTATTTTCTTACACTTTTTTTAAAAAATTAATTTATTTTTAGTTTTCAACATTCACTTCCATAAGCTCTTTTGAGTTTTAAATTTTCTTCCTCTCCCTCCCCATCCCCTTCCCAAGGTGCAATCTGATATAGTCTCTACATATACATTATAGTAAACATATTTTCACATTAGTCATGTTGTAAAGAATATGGGAGGAACCACGAGGAAGAAGAAATAAAACAAAACAATAACAAAAAAAGAGAGAGCAAACAGTCTGCTTCCATCTGCATTCAGACTCCATAGTTCTTTCTCTGGACGTGGACAGCATTTTCCTTCATGAGTCTTTTGGTGTTGTTTTAGATCCTTGTGATGAGGTGTGGACCCAAGCCAAGATCTTTGACCCTTGCTCCAAAGGGAATCTGGCTCCCATTGGTTTACAGGCCCAAGCTCCTCATCTGGCTTTGAAAGCCTTAGCCCTACCTTTTGATCTTATTCAGATGCACCTTTGCCACTTGCCCTAAAAAGAATCTGGCTCCCGTTTGTCTACAGGTCCCAGAAAACCCTTAAACTTTCAGGTTCCTTATCAACTTCCCTTATCTCCCTTTTAAAGCCCTAGCCCCACCTGCTGACCTTATTCAGATGCCTTCCAGTTCCCTTCATTATCTTTTCCCATTGTCTATTCAACCTCTCAGAGCTTCCAATCCAAATTCTTACCTAGATCCTTTTCCCAGCCCCCTCCTCTGGCCACCCAAAGTAACTTTAGTGTATATAAGATCCACCCTGGCCCCCATTCAAATGCTGAGAATCTGTCATGCCCAAAAGGCTGAGCTTTTCTCATGCCTGCTCCTCCTTATGGGCGTCACCTGGCCTATATGTTTTATGTCTAATAAACTTTTTCTCTGACTGGAAGATCTGAGTTGAATTCATTCAGGCAGGGCCCACATCACCATCTTGGGGTTCAAGCACACCAAACCTCTAGACCTCTTCGCTTGCTTTGCTGAGAAGACCTAACTCTATAAAAGTTAGTCATCGAATAATGTGGCTGTTACTGTATACAATACTCTTCTGGTTCTGCTCACTTCATTCAACATTAGTTTACAGAAGTCTTTCCAGGGTTTTTCCGAAAAAGGTTTTCCTCCTGCTTCTCATTTCTTATACCACGATAGTATTCCATCCCTCTCCTTTTCCCTCTCCCCCTCTTTCTCTTTCTCTCTGGGCTTTCCTGGCTAGGTTCCTTTCTCAAAGACCAAGGCTTAAACCCAATTCACTGGAGCTTATAGATGGGGCAACAATAGGTCCTTGCCCACGCATCACTTAATGGTTATTTTTTGGGGCCCTCCTGGCTCCAAATGTAAATAGTAACACAGCTTCTCTTTTGACCAGCAACACTGAAGGTCTTCCTCTCCCAGTTTTTGTTTTTGTTTTTTGACTAAAGGGGCCATCCCTTGACTCACTTTTTTTTTTCCTTGACTCACTTCTTAAAGAGGCCTATTCCTTGAATGGGCGTTACCTCACTCAAAGTGAGAACGGAAAAGACCTTAAAAGGGCCAGGGTCTCCCACTGCATCCAGACGAATATCTGTCCACTGGACCCAGACAGCTCTGGAGGAGAAAGTGAGGCTGGTGACCCTGTACAGCCCTCCCTCACTCAAATCAAAGTCAACAACAAGTCATATCATTTTCCTGATGTCATGGTCCTCTTTGAGAAGGACAAATACAATAACAAAAACAACAACAACAACAAAACTTGTTCAGCCATTCCCCAGCTGATAGGCATCCCCTCAGTTTCCAATTCTTGTCCACCACAAAAAGAGCTGCTATAAATATTTTTGTACATGTGGGTCCTTTTCCCATTTTTATGATCTCTTTGGGATACAGACCGAGAAGTGCTATTGCTGGGTCAAAGAGTAGGCACAGTTTTATAGCCCTTTGGGTATAATTCCAAATTGCTCTCCAGAATGGTTAGATCAGTTCACAACTCCACCAACAACGCGTAAGTGTTCCAATTATCCCACATCTTCTCCAACATTTATTATTTTCCTGTTTTGTCATGTTGGCCAATCTGATAGGTGTGATGTGGTACCTCAGAGTTGTTTTGATTTGCATTTCTCTAATCAATAGCGATTTAGAGCATTTTTTCATATGATTATAGATAGCTTTAAGTTCTTCAATTTTCTTTTATCTTTGTTACAAAAGGTGTATGTTTTTAAATGAATGTGATATGGGAATAAAAGAAATCAAACCTTTTCTGAAAAAAAAAGTAGTGATATTTGCTCAGTAAATTAGCCACTTGCCTTTTTAAAAGGTTCCACACACTTAGTTTGCTTAGAAAATCCTAGAGAACCAGCAAAAATACTAAGTTGAAACAATTAACAGCTTTACTAAAGCTGTAGATAATAAAATGAATCGTCAAAAAATCAATGGCATTTCTATATAATAATGACAAAATCTAAAAGGCAATAATACAGGGGGAAATTCCATTGCAATTAACTACAAAATGCATAAAATATCTAGAGATTAATCTACCAAACCATACAAAACACATAAACAGATTCAATTTAAAGTTGTTGATCAGCTCTTCATGATCCCACTTGGAGTTTTCTTGGCAAAGTTCACCATTTCCTTGTCTAGCTCATTTTATAAGAGATGAGCAACTAAGAGGCAAATAGGGTTTAGTGACTTGCCTAGGGTCATACAGCTAGTAAGTGTCTGAGGCTGGATTTGAACTCAGGAAAATGAGTCTTCCTGAATTCAGGCTTAGCACTCTATCCACTGCATCACTTAGTTGCCAAATTCAATTTAAAGGTAATCCTTTAAAAATATAAAGAACAACTTAAACTGCACCAAGCATATTCAGTGCTATGGCTGGGCTGTGCAAATATACTAAAATAAAAATGACAGTTATCAAAGTTAATTTACATCTCAATGCAATACCAATCAAATTAACAAAAGGATACTCTACAGAACTTCATAAAACAAAAACAAAATCCATTTGGAAAAACAAAAGATGTAGAATATCAAGGAAAATGACAAAACACTTCTAGACATCAAACAATATTATAAAATAGCAGTCACAAAAACAACCCAGTAATGGTTAATGAGAGAGAGAGAGAGAGAGAGAGAGAGAGAGAGAGAGAGACAGAGAGAGAGACAGAGAGAGAGACAGAGAGACAGAGAGAGAGAGAGAGAGAGAGAGAGAGAGAGAGAGAGAGAGAGAACTAACTCAATGGAAGAGAACAGGAAAAAAACCTCAATCTCCATCAACACTTCATACTATGTTCCACATATATTCTAAATTGGATATTTGTAACCATAATTTTAAAGACTGAAGAAATCAGAAAAGATCATGTAACCTTTCTTTTAAAATTTTAAAAAAATATATTTAATCAGCAAAAATCCTCCTCACTCTAGCCCACAATCCTAATTAAGAACAAAGGAAAATGAGGTAGCTAGGTGGCACAGTTGATAGAGTACCAGCCCTGGGAGTCAAGAGGACTTGAGTTCAAATCTGACCTCAGACACTTAACACTTACTAGCCGTGTGACCCTGGGCAAGTCACTTAATCTCACTGCCTAGCAAAAAACAAAAAACAAAACAAACAAACAAAACCCCCAAAACAAAAAAAAAGACAAAGTAAAAGAAAACCATTACAAACATGTACAGTCAATCAAAACAAATTTCCACATTGGTCATGTCCAAAAATATTTTTGTCTAAATTCTACACTGATTCTTTCATCTCTCTATGAAGCAGTTTTATCAATAGCCCTCTGGAATTATGGTTGGTCATTATGCTGATAAGAATTCCTAATTCTTTCAGAGTTGTTTGCCTTTACCATATCACTGTCCCCAAATAAACTGTTCTCCTGGTTCTGTTCACTTTAACCTGCATTAGTTCTCTCTGAAACCCTCTCCTATATTATTTCTTCCACCACAATAATAATCCATCACATATATACATACCATAACTTGTTAAGTCTTTCCTCAATCTGTAGATATTCCTTCAAATTTCCATTCTCTGGACCTCACAAATAGCTTTTATACATCTTTAAGAGTCTGCTTTCCTTAGAGTAAACTAATCCCTCCCTTAATCTATCCTCAATTCCTCCTCCTCTTTGCCAACTGAGTAAAAGTATTTTTGTTCCCAACTTTTGTGGATGTGTATTCTTTCCTCCTTTGACCAATTCAGAGAGTGAAGTTGAA